CTTGAAGTCCAAGTCTTGTTTTGATTTTATTCATAGACAAAATGAGCCAAATCCTTCTCCAGCAGAAACATGCTAAGTTTATAACTGAAAGTAGATTCATTTTTTAACATAAATCCAAATTAGCGTTAAAGAATAAACCAATGCCTAACTCTCTAGTATTTCGAACCTATGAAATACTGCAGTACAAATAAAGAAATATTTTACCCTAATCTAAAATTTTTATTTTACTTACCACTCATCTCTTTTTTTAGCAACCAATGAAAGAGATTAAACAGTTACTTTGTTACACAGACTGAGGGAAGTTCTTTCTTAATGAATAAACTACTCCATCAGCTTGGAGAAACAGAACTATCATCAAGCACAAACTGTACTACTTGAGTAAGAAAAATAAAGTCGAACTGAAGGTACTAAGATAACAAATAAGGTTTTGGTGTCAGGCACTGCAAAGAAACACTGGTCATTACAGGAAGCTGTATTAATGCTGACAATGTTAAAGTGTTCGTAGAAACTAGGAAGCTCTAGTGTTCCTCCCAGTGTCACACACTTTCCTGTCCTATATAACCAGGTCTATAAATTTTGCTTGTATTTCTGAATAAGTAACTGTATATTAAAATTCCAAAATATTTAATTGGCAGTGATTCCTAGTCATCTTTTTCCTTTTGCTACGTATCTCTTTATACATTTCCCAGCCAATCCTGGACTCCCATCTCTTTAGTCATCTAACTTACCAAATTCCCTAGCTATTGTCACATAGGAGGCTTTTCTAAAGCGAGGGTGTCTCAATAGTGCACTGGCAGGTTACAGTGAATGCACAGCCAAAGCAGAACATTACAAACATTTAAGCCAGTACTAAAAGAGACACTTCTTAGGATATATTGTCCTCAGTGTGCTAGTTTCTAAGAACTAGAATGGTACCCTAAGCTATAATGTGCTTGATTTTTCTTTTTCCACAGTAAGCTATTTAGCTTACCCATAATGAAACTAACCAGAAAAGGAAATGTTTGCCTTTCAGAACTTGGGATAAAAAAACATTCATGTTTGCACCCGAAGTTATTATTAACAAACGAATGGCCTGCTAAAAACCTAAGCTGTGACATCACTACCCTAGCCCTTGTCCCAAACACTGATTACAGGGCAGTCATTTATCTTAAAACAAAAAGCCACAGACAGGCTAAAAAACTGTCCCCATTTTTTTTTTTTTTTTTGCTTTTCAATTTGCATTAATAAGTTTAATCATCAATTGTTAGTTAAAACAAAAATGGCTAATTTTATTTTATCTGCTAACTCCTCCCATTCCCCCGATGTTTACCCTTTCTATCAAAGATTCAAGAACATACATTGTTAAACATATCAAAAAAGAAAATGTTATGATTCTGTAATACAAGGATTTCCCATCTCCTGGAAAATTAACAAACGAGCATACAGAAATAATTCATATTTCCCAGAAGGAACTTAATGTGGGATGTTTCTTTTTGTCTAGAAGAACCTTATAATCAGAATGCCTAAAAATTAAGAGAATAAAATAAGTGTCAGGTCCTATGCTAGTGAGAGAGAAAAAAACAAGGCATACCAAAGGAACTTCTCCATTCATGGGAGAACCAAACACGAATGCAAATAGCTCCAACCAGGCAAGCAGATGAGGGTTAGAAAACAAGCACCCACGGAGAGCACAGGGGAGAGGCGTTCCAGCCAGGAGGACTGGGTCAAGCTTCCATCCTACAGCACGGTTCCTCAGTGTGGCCAAGAACAAATTCATCCAAATCACCTATGACTGTCTGCTAAAAATACAGATCACTGGGTCCCATATCCAGGATTCCTAAAACAGGTCCTCCTGTGATGAAGCCTCAGAATCTATTTTTCTTTTATTTTGTATTAGACAAGCATTCCTGTGCATCTGATGCAAGGGGCTCCTGGACTTCATTTAGTCACATTAAAATTTGATTACCACTATTCTAATTGAAGGGTAGGACCTAATGAACAGACATAGTAATGGAAAACCTTGATGGAGGCACTTTGTGAACAGAGCCACAGAAGCGGAACATCACAATAGGTGGGAACTGAGGGGTTACAGGGTATGTACAGTGACCTAATGAAATATATTGTTGGAATCGGAGGTAAGCTAGCTAGAGTCTTGACTCATATAAAGAGGTTGAACTCTATTTTGGCGGCAATGGAGGATGAGAAACGCTTTCTGAGCAAACCCACACTGTGTTTGACCAAGATTACCTGGGATTCCAAGCAAGAGGTACTAGGACAATAATGTAAAAAAGGAAAAGTGGGAATGAATGCAAGAGCCTCAGGAGGGGCAGAAAAGGCAAGATTCAGGGAGTTGCTGTATGTAGACAAGAGAAAGAGTTGAAGATGACGCTGAGGAAAAATTTAAATGAGCCAAGTGCCTTCTCAGTATCCAATACTATGCCAGGCACCACAGAGCATCCAAAAGTACACCAGTCATTAATGCAACGTAATAATTCAGCACCTACTATACAGAACAGGTACCATTAACAATGCCAAGGATATACAGGGGATAAAAACCCCTGGTCTCCAAGAGTTTAAAATTAGATCTTGCCCCGCTCCTCTTTTCTTGTGTCCCGGCATTTTATCAGGGAAAAAGTATGTCTGAACTTGTCTCTCCTTGCCCATGATGCTGTCTATGCTCCTAAAGCATCAGCTGGCTCAAGTCCAGAACATGCAGCTCCTCATCCTGAGTGGTTTCACCTATCTGCCCTTAATGGCAAGTAAATACTTAGGAATGCTTTCTCGACAATGACCAGACAGTTTCGATATGAAACTGTAAGATCTGAACGTCCAAATTCAAAAGTGTGAGTGAAGCCCAACTTCACCTCAATGGGCTTATGGCACTTTTCTACAGAGAGCTTTAGAGTACAGTCATTTATTCATTCAGTCAACATGTACTGTACGCTATTACAATGGATGTTTCTTCCCTGACCTGGGAAGATGAATAACATCCTGAGAAAGTGGAAAGTGTGGTTTGTTGAGAAAATGAATGGTTTGTTAGGAAGAAAAGAGAATACACAGCACTTAAAAACAGGAGGGTGAAGGGAGGCAAGAAGGGTTGTGTGGAGGAACTCATGTGAGACTGCCAAAAACAATTTAACAAGTACTGACCACAGGACAAAAATTAACCACAAGTCTGAGACATGGATGAAGGTCACCTGTCAAGTTAATTTAATAAATTTCAACATATAATGCTGCCAGCTACTCAATTTTAACAATAATATGAGATAGCCTCTGCCTTTCATTAAGGACACTATACTTGACAAGATGCATACACCAAAGAAGGGAACTGTATAAGACAGTAAGTACATAATCAAGTGCTAGGTTGTACGATATGCAGGAAGAGTCATAATTCAGAGAAAGTTAAGATTCTGGCATCAGTTTTACAAAAAGCTATCATAAACACTTTTTTTTTCTTTCCCTAGAACTTTTAATAGCCAAGACAGCTTCTGAGTACAAATGGTAATAGGGGCCAGCCGAATGGCTCAGTCGGTTAAGAGTTGGCTTAAGAGTGCAAGCTCTGAGCAACAGGGCCACTGGTTTGATTCCCACATGGGCCAGTGATGCTGCGCCCAAGCTGAGCTGTCGCTGAGCTGCCAACAGGTGGCAGGATGGCTCAGCTGGTGTAACAACAAGATTGCCTGTTTGATGGTGGGCGTACCTGCAACTGAGACTGAACTCGGCACCTTGAGCTGAGCTGCCGCCTGGATGGCTCAGTGGATACAGCGTGCGCTCTTAACAAGGCTGCAGGGTTTGACTCCTGCGTGGGATGGTGGCTACGCCCACCCGCAACCAAGATGAAACACAGCACCTTGAGCTGAGTGACCACGAGCTGCCGTCGGGCAGCCAGATGGCAACTGGCGCCCTCCACAACGAAGACTGAAGAACAACAACTTGGCTGGTCCCCTTCCCCAATCCCCCAACACTGTTCCCCTCCCCCAATAAAATCTTATAAAAAAAGGTACTAGGAAAGACAGCTGGGTGTACATCATTTTGCAGCCACGCCCCTAAATGTGGATTGCTTTAATGCTGACGACATCATCAAACAACTTTCTAAGCGGTTTTACTTACAACTGTCACTTTATTTTGATATGACAGTAAAACACTTCAGATCTGAACTACCTCCAAACTGTATAAAGTCTAGATTGCTATCATTCCTGTGATCTTTCCGGTCTCTGGCAAATAAACCAGAAAACAATCAAAGCATTCACAATTAAATTACAAAACACCTGATTTCAAAAAATCTCTTAATTATTATTTTTGTATCTTGAACTTGGATCCTTTCTCTTCTACCCTCTCTTCAATGCTGTGTAACAGCTACAATATTTATGGGTAGTCTTGTTTAAGACAAAGTAGAAAAAATAAATATAAAATAAATTCTAGGTGCTTCCCATGTGAAACAGAGGTCCAAAAAATAACTAAGATTTTTTTGTTTAAGAAGGAGCATTTGTTAAATGTGTCTAGGAGCCTTAAAAAATAACACACATGCAAAACCAGAAAGCAAATACAGAAAAAGCACAATGACTGTTAAAACATTATTAAGGACTTTAATCTCTTCTATATTAATCTGTACCATAAAATGAGTACCTCTAAATAGCACATTTGAACCTAGTTCAGTTATTGAACTCTTAGTCCAAGAGTAAAAGGTCATTTTTTTTTAGAAGGATGAATATTATTGCTGTTAATTGGGAGGAAATTATTTTCAAAAGAACAAAATTAGAAGTGTCTGAAAATCATTCTGATCTTACTTTCAAAAAGAAAAACAACCAATTAAATATAACAGTTTTACCAAATTTATGGGGTTTACCATATTTTTATCTTGCTTAGTATAAAAAGCTCACCTACAGAGCAGTCTCAATTTCTGAGGCTAAAATTCTGCACAGATATATTGTAGGTATCAGTGAAAAGGGCGTGTTAGACTCAGATATTAATAAACATCATTAAAATAAAATCAGAACATTTTAAAAGAACAAATCTCTTACCAGCTGAAATTCTCGACGCCGATCATAGGCATTCTGTATACCGCTGTCTGCCCATAATGCTCTGATAGCAGGAAGATATTGTAAAAAAACTCGGGTTTCCACCATTCCCTGGGCCACCAGGGGGGACCGGGTGTCGAATGACATCATCTTGTCTCCATTGACTTGGTTTGAGTTATCTCCCCAAGGAATATGAAGCTTCTCTCGAGCGTCTACCAGCACCCTCATACCTTTGTTAAGGGGAAAAAAAAGTGTGAGAGGAGCCGTTAGATATTCTCATAGATTCTCTTCCAGTATTATTTTCTTAAACTTCTTAAGTACTCCAGGCCCACCTCCTCCAAAAATGGAGAACATCAAAAGAGACACGCGTAATTTCTCAGAGCTTAAAAAAACTAAATTATTCACAGTTATAAAAATTAGAGCCTTGGAAAGCATAGACTATTAAACAATTACTCTTTTTGAAGGATTTTAACATGTTCCAATTTGTAAAATAACTTCTGGGGTAGAAAGTAATCACAAGAGAACCAAAACTAGTGAAGAAGAAAGAAATTAGGCTGCATAGCCTAAAGTTCAGGCTCTAAAGTAAATGGCTGCAACCAAGATTTTCTAAGCCCCTCAAAAAGACCTTTATTTGTAAAATGCCAAGAACCAAACATTATCGCTCTGTGTTCTGTTTGGTCCCTGAGCACCCTGCTTAACACAACACAGAGTCTTCTAGAAACACATTCAAAACTCAAAAAACGTGTTCCATAGTAAGCTTCAAATCAGTGTAAGTCATAGGATAGCCTTCGATTTCTCTAAAAGGGAAGACCAAATGCAGAAAAAAATGCAGAAAAACAGAAATCTCAACTCACAGAGATTTGTTCAAACCCAACATTCTATCACTAAACTGTTACCTTTGGTCTATTTTAACAGTCACGACTATCAAGTCGTTTGTTTGGATAACTGAAAAACTGTTTTGCTGTTCATTTTCTGATCATGCCAACTCAAAAAAAGTATGTACCTAGTGATTTACTTCATCTCATAATCAATGCTCAAAGTAGGTCACACTTAGGACCCAGTGCACATTTAAGAGCCAGGTGTTTCCCTGGCTCATAAGCAGTTAACATGTTGACTCAAATTCATTGACATAACTAACTCCTTAAGTTCAGCTACATCGGGATACAAAGGTACCTTCAATATAAGGACTGGCAAGGCAAAGTCTGTGGCCTTGAAAGAGACCTTAATTAGTTTTGTGCTAAACGTTAAGATAGGATAAATACAACTGTTCTGTACAGCTTAGCTGCAGTGGTACTAGGGCTGGGGGCTCACTGTGGCCTGTGGCTCCCAGCCTGGTGCACTTCTCCCGTCATTATCCCACAATACTCCCCACCCCCCCAAACAGTTTTCCCCTACTCAGTCCTGGGAGAAAATAAAGTGACCCCAAGGAGTAGCTTGAGTACTTCCTGAATAAAACAAACAAACAGAAATCACTTTATAAAGCACTGCTTGAAAAGACCTGAAATCTGTTGCAAACTCCTAGATAACTGCTACCCAGATGAAATGAAAAGAATCTGGACACACCTGAAGCACCAGGCTGTGTATCTCAATTTTGCCAAAATGCCTTTTATAAAGTAGAAAATATCTGATATTAAGACAAATGAGTGCTAATTATCACCAAGTGACAAAATAAAAACCATCTTCTCTAATTCTCTGAAAGCCCAGAATAAAATTCTTATGTATTTTCCACGTAAAAATAAAGTTTAGTTTTTAGAACATTGTCAAATACAAGCAGAGTCTAAATCCAGGCTGACACCGATTCACTGACCACCTGTACAGGCTCCACATCCCTTTTAGGCCGAAGTTTCTCTATGTCAATGCACAATTTCATTTAAATAACAGAAGCAAGTGGTGTGGTACACCCCCTCCCTCCCGCCCCCAGTTATTAAGCAAAAATGAGAGTGGAACGTGTTTGCATAGTGATTACAGGCAAACACCCTGCCCGACCCTGACAGTGGAGCAAAAAACCACTGATTTTAGACCAAACTATATGAGTCTACTCTTCCCTGGTTGCCAGCACAGTAAACATGACATCAAGTTTCATACCCTTGTTCAAAAGGGCCTAAGGGCTGTCACCCTTCGCCCTTGACAAGAGCCTCGGGCAAAAGTTTCCCTACTGCGACCGTTCAAGAACTGCCTCGCTCAGGAGGCGGCCAAGGAAGCAGGGATTTGGGAACAGACCGACTCCATGTGACTCGGGTCACCCACCCCGGGCGGCGAGGTTGGGCAGGCAGCGCCGCGGGCGGTGGGTGGGGGTGTAGGGTCTGAAGCTGGCTCTCAGATCTTCCTGCCTTGTCCGGAGGAAAGAGAGGCGAGGTCACCCCGCACTCTGGGGCACCGGGCTCGTCTCACTTCCCTCTCGGAGGGGGCGAGGCAAGTGGCGGGGTTGGGGGTGGGGGACCAATCGTGCCCCCGACCCGCGCGTCAAGGTGGAAGGCTGGGCGCCCCCGGGCATCCCCTCCCCTGGGGGACGAAGGCACCCTCGGCAGAAAGGGCCAGTGCCCGGGGCGCGCCCCCATCCTCCCCGCCCGCCCGCCGGGCCCGGTCCTTCCACGGGGACAGAGCGAACGAGGGCGGTGCCCGGCCCCGCGCGGGCCACCGCCGGCCTCGGCCCCTGCCGCAGCCCCGACCCTCGGTCCCCCGGCTCCGACCCTCGCCCGGCACCTTTGATCACGTTGCTGTAGATGGTGGGGCGGAACTCCTCGCGCGCGCGCTGGTCGAAATCCTGCCCGTGGATGATCCGCATCTGCTTCAGGAAGGTGGACTTGCCGCTCTCGCCCGCGCCCAGCAGCAGGATCTTCACGAGCCGCTTCACGTAGGTCTTTTCCCGGGACAGGCATTTGTCGATCTCCTTGGACTTGCGCTGCTGTTCGGCCTCGCCGCTCGTCAGCACGCAGCCGGGGAAGCACACGGACAGCACGGACCGCGACGGCAGGAAGTCCGCCATCTTGCCGCCGCCGCCGCCGCTTCGGCGGGCCCCTCCGGCTCCCTCCACCTCCTCCTCGGGCGGCGGGCGACTCCGGCACCACGAGCTCTAGGGCGGGGAGCGTTGTGGCGGCCCGAGCGCGCCGGGGGAGGGAGGGAACGAGCGAACTGACTCGCAGGGCGGGCCGGGCAGGGCGGGCCGGGCTAGCCGGGGAGGGAGGGAAGGAGGGCGGGCCCGAGAGGGGCGGCGGCCCCGGCGCGTGCGCGCGCCCGCTGCTTCCCGTGGGCGCGCGCACGCAGCGGCCGCTCCCCCGCCTCCCGCCTTTTACGGGTGAGTTACGCGCTAGCTGGCGTACGCGCGGCCGCTGTGGTCACGTGGCCTCCGGTAGGGCCGGGCAGAAACGTGTGGCGCCCGACTTTCTGTTTTCCTTTAATTAGCTGCGCCCGTTTACGGGCAGAAGGGCTACGTTTTAGGGCCCTGGAGGCCCGAGACCAGATCCCGGACACTGCCCTCTGGGCTTCCTAACTGCTCCCGCCCCTCATTCTCCCAGGTTTCATGCCCTCAGCCTGCTGTCAGCGTTCGCGCACCTTATTTCCAAGCCTTCGGCTGGCAAGTTATGTAGACAGCGGGCGCGAGCCTGGAGGGTTTTGGGGTATATTTTCATAAGGTGGTTTCCTTCACAGCCGGCTCTCCCAACCCCCGAACGATAGAGAACCCAACGTCATCAATCCACCCACCCAACTATTTTTGGCATTCTCAGACCCCTGCAAAGATGCTCTCCCCACACCCCCCGCTCCCGAAGAAAAAGAACTGGAATTGAAGTTAATCCGCGATATGCTAGGAGGAGCTGTTCATGTCTCAATGTGGATTCCCATCCGAGCTGCCAAGATGAAATTAGTGGATGGTAGCTGCAGCGGGGTGAGGTCATGGTGAAAATCCCCCTAAACCGGACACTGATACAGACTTCCCTACAAGGAAGCCGATAAGCAAACAGACCGAGGACAAGAGCAGGCAAACTTTAGGTTTCCTGCCAGATTACAGAGGATATGACCAGCCAAGGGACATTTTTGTTTTTCTTCTAACAGCAGATTTAGGCCAGGACACCTGAAAGGGCTGCCAGGAGACAGGTAAAAAGTGACAGCTGGGTTGACAGAGAGACTGCGTAGCAGGGACCCTGGAAGCTACCTTCTTCATTCTTAGTGTTTAGTTTCAAGTGAAAAAAAACAACACCATTTTGATCTGTCTCTTTGACAGTGTAACTGTAATACTCTTGTTTTGGGCTCCTGTAGCTCAGAAACTACCTATTGGGCAGTTGAGATAAGAGGTCAGCATTCTGAGAAGCTCATGAAACAGGTTTAAATTTAAAAAAAAAAATCAGTGCTAATCCAGTTTACTGTCAGCGTAGGGTTAAAGGCTGAGGAGCCTCATGACTCACTCAAGTGGAAACAGTCAACAATGCCTGTAGTAGGACTATCTCCTATGGTCCTGGCCAAGCGTATAGGGTAGACAATCTACAATATACACAGTGGAGTAGGTTCAGCTCAGTATCTGTGGATTAATAAAGTCAGAGTCACAGGGTGGTAACTTCAGGCAAAATGCATGGTAAAAGTCTACCCTGGATGGAAGATCTATTGTCTCAGTTGATGTTCAGGAGGCCCTGTTCTTCAACCATGAAAAGACTAACCACTGCCCAGGACAGGGGCCTAGCATTGGCCCCCAAGCATCATTTCTACATGGACTCCAGATTCTCATCTGAATTTTTCTACAAAAATGGGAGGCAGGAAGCCTGTAAGCTAGGTAGTTAGCCTTTCCCCCCCCCCCCAAAGTACGTGCAACTTAATAGAGAACCAAGGATGCCTAGGGGGCAGGAAGGTATTCCTGCCTGGCCAGTTCATGTTGTGACATGTAGAGCAGCAGAGAAAGCTGTTCAAAGCCTGTAACCTTGTGTTGGAACAAGCATGGCTCAGATCGAGCCTCGCTCTTCTAATCAGTTTTTCTGAAAAAGATACCTCTTTGGGCCTAGACTGGAGTTTGGCTGCAGCAGTCCCACTGCTTCTAACTGTCTGGTAATTAAGCCACCTTGAAATTGTAAGCATAGAAATGAGTTAGAGATTTGGTGGTTCCTCCGAAAGTTAAACATAGAATTGCCACAGGACCCAGCCATTCCACTCGGGTATATACCCAAAAGAACTGAAAACAGGTGTTCAAAGAAAATATTGTACACCTATGTTCATGGCAGAACTATTCAGAATACGCAAGAGGTGAGAATAACCCATATATCCATCAATGGATGAATGGATAAATACAGTGTAGTATATCTAGACAATGGAATTATTCAGCCATAAAAAGAAATGGGGACCAGGCGAGTGGCTCAGTTGGTCGCCGGTTCGATTCCCGGCCTGAGCTGAGCTGCTGCAGAGCTGCCAACAGGTGGCAGGATGCCTCAGGTAAAAAAAAAGAAAAAAAAAAGAAATGAAGTACTGATATATGCTAAAGCATGGATGAACCCTGAAAACATGCAAAGTGAAAACAGCCAGACACACAAGGCCACATATTTTAAGGTTCCATTTATATGAAGTGTCCAAAATAGACAAATCCATAGAAACAGCAGATTAGTAGTTGTCAGGGGTTAGGGGGAGGGAAGAATGGGGAGTGACTTCTTAATGGGTACAGGGTATTCTTTTGGGGTGATGAAAATGTTTAGGAACTAGATAGCGGTAATGGTTGCAGAACATCGTGAATGTGCTAAATGCCACTGAAGTTTCCACTTTACAATGATCAGATGATGAACTGTGAATTTTATCAAATGATGAGTTATGTGAATTTTATCACAATAAAAAAATGAGGTAGGGAAAATAATATTTTCCAAAAAAGGAAAGTCATCAGCCTCATTTAACACTGAAGTACCTACAGTGTGCAGTATTCAGTGAATGAAAATGTGATTGTGTCTGTTTTAAAATAACACTAACAACTTAAATTATTTGCACCAGAAGCTAATCTACTCTAGCAACATCTACCGATTGATAAGGTCAGAATTATCAATTAAAATGTCATTAATATTACAATGTAACCTGAATGTTTCAGGTTATATTGTAGTGATATTAGTGATATTTTAATTTTCAGATAAATTTTTCATAACTGAAAAAAATCCAAACTTTTAAGGGACTATAGAGTCTATTGGTTAGAATTGAATCTGCTAGGTGCTATGTTTCCACTAGCCTCAGAGATTAATTCATTGGCAACATCTGTATTGCTAGCCAATTAATCCATGTGCAAATGAGGGGTTCAGATGGCCCTGGGAGCTGCGATAAAATGATTGAACAGTTGATTAGTTGCAATGCTGTTTTCTTTCTGGAATCTCAAAATCAACTGCCAAACAGGCTTGCAAGATAAATAGTGCAGCTGTGACTAAAAATGTAGAAAAACATTTCCAAATGGCTTTTCTCCTCTAATGTGGTCACCTTAAGATGGAACAAGCCCTTTCAAACAATACTGTCAATTCTTGAAATTTTCTCTTTGTAACTCTCCTGTTGGAACTGAAAGAAAGATAGGCTTCCTATCTCATAGTCCTAGCTTTTTTTCAGTTGTGTTTTTTTTCAAAGGCATTACTTAGCTCATTTACCAACCTTGTGCCAAATCATTTTGGCCCGTTTACAAAGTCAGTATTATCCACAAAGGACACAATTTTTGTCACCCTCAGACATATTCAAAGGATATGCCAGAGTCTCTAGGAATAATTCCAAAAGACGAGTTAAAAATTTTTTTTGAATGATGGGAACTATTTAAATAAGTGTTTTGCCTGCCAAAGTGACTACTCACCACTCAGGCTAGGGCAACACCCATTTAGCTGTGTTTATTTAAAAATCTGTCACATAACCTGCTGGCTAAACCTTGTGTTACTTTTCTAATAAGGACGATGACACATCTAACAAAAAGGTTCTTGTTACACAACTCTGGAATCTCATCATCAATATAGGATAGGTGGATTCTAACCCTTCCTTACAGATAAAACAAGCATGGACTTTTCTTATCTTCCTTTCCCTAGCAGAAGAGGAAGGGAATTCCCTGGCCCTTTCATAATACAAATCCCTTACATTTGTGTCAAGTTTTAAACGCCCAAAGCAAGTACTTTGACCTACTTTATCTCCTTCTGTGCTCACAGATACCCTGATTAAGATCACCCAGCATTAACCTCACTCCCATCTCCGCACACAAGGAAGCTGATGAGCACAAAAATTTAGGTGACTGGTTCAAAGCCTCACTCAGCCTGGCTGGTTGCAGAGCGAGGACTAGCCCCTCCCTCTTTTGACTCGGAATCCAGTGCTCTTTCTGATAAGCCAACATTGTCGTAGTGTCCCAAATGCCCGGGTGGATGAAGTTCAAACTTAAGAAACAAGTAGCTAGCTAACTGTACTTAACGAAGAGGTACCATAGAGTCCAGTATGGTTGGCTGGTTGGTTTTTCCAGCCCCTGTCAGGGTGACTGCCATCTCGAAGTTTAGCAGCTCTTAGGCTGACTCTGGTAAGATGTTCCATGCTTTGAGCTCAGCCTCTGGTTTGTAAAATGTTCCAGGTGGCACGTAGGAATCATAAAAGAGGAGCCAAGCTTATGGCAATATTTACATGGTGCATAAGCCCCAGGCGTCCCCTGAAGGTGAGTTAAATAGGAAAAGGCAACTTTTGGGTAATGAAAATTGATGGTGCCCTAACCAGAATAAGCCTCTCATGTGGAAAGTTTTGTGTGAAACTAGACATGTGGAATTGCATTGTTAGTGGGTTTTTTGTTGTTATTGATGGAAAACATGACTTTAATTTCTGGTTATATACTTGCCTCAGCCTCCGAGAAAGGTCCATGAGCTGCTGATGACCAGCTGTGATCTCACTGGGTTTATTCAAAGTCAGAGAAGCCTGTGCCGTCCTAAAGACACACAGCAGCACGCATAGGAACTCTTACACCTTGCTTACTGCATCGGCCCTGTTTATGGGCAGTCTATTTATATAACATTAAGCACAAGGCTGTGCCTGTAAACCTGACATTCTTGCTGAGAAATTCAAAACATCCTGCTCCATCCCTCTCCTTTATGCTCCCTTACAGCTATTAAAGATGAGGGATACTTTTTATGTTTTACTGCCCGTAAATGGGCTGCTCTTTGCCAGGGACAGTCACGGTTCTTTAACATAAATTCTGTTTCTCCAGGGAAGTTGAAGTCTGCACGAGTCTCAGTTTATT